ATCCAACCAACCAACCCAAAAAACACCAGCTGACCCCAAATCCAACCAATCAGCCCCAAAAAACCACCAACTGACCCCAAATCCAACCAATCAACCCCAAATCCAACCAATCAACCCAAAATCCAACCAACTGACCCCAAATCCACCCACCCAACCCAATCCAACGTCCCCAATCCCAAATTTGGGGCCGAGGTTGGAATCCCGTCGTCTCCCGGGACCCGCCCCCCCCAAATCCCGGGGCTGGGGCCGGGTTTTCCTGGCAGGAGCAGCTCTGGAATCCCCCTGACCCCGCTGGGGGCACATCCTGTGTCCCCCCCCCGGGGGCTTTTGAGGGTAAAAACGGCGTTTTCGGGGCCCCCGAGCTCCCTGGGGGTGGATCCCGCATCTCTCACGGGGCTTTTTTGAGGACAAACTGAGGCTTTTTGGGACCCTCTGACCGAGGCAGCCCCTCCCCACAGGCCCTACACGGCTCTGGTGATCCCATTGCTCAATCCCTGTTATCCTTTGGGATCCCTGAGCTCCCTCAGGGCTCATCCCACCTCTCCCCCCTGGGTTTTTAGGGTAAACCCACGGGGTTTTGGGAACAAACCCACGTGTTTTGGGGCCCCCTGTCCCACAGCTGCCCCTTTTCCCCCTGGACCTACACGGTCCCATTATGGGATCCCCGTTATCCTTCGGGATCCCAGAGCTCCCCTGTGGTTTTTGGGGACAAACCCCGTGGATTTTGGGATCCCACACTGCCCCCTGTCCCCCAGGACCTGCAGGCCCAGGACTGGGTGCACCTACACGGTCCCATTATGGGATGGATCCCTGAGCTCCCCCATGGTTTTGGGGCCAAACCCGTGGTTTTTGAGTACAAACCCCCATGGTTTTGGGGCCAAACCCGTGGTTTTTGAGCACAAACCCCCTGGTTTTGGGGACGAACCCGTGGTTTTTGAGTACAAACCCCCTGGTTTTGGGGCCAAACCCGTGGTTTTTGAGTACAAACCCCCTGGTTTTGGGGACGAACCCGTGGTTTTTGAGCACAAACCCCCTGGTTTTGGGGCCGAACCCGTGGTTTTTGAGTACAAACCCCCTGGTTTTGGGGACGAACCCGTGGTTTTTGGGGTCCCCCAGGACCTGCAGGCCCAGGACCGCGCCCACCGCATCGGGCAGCAGAACGAGGTGCGGGTGCTGCGCCTCTGCACCGTCAACAGCGTGGAGGAGAAGATCCTGGCGGCCGCCAAGTACAAGCT